AATTTGGCCAATTTCATGTTTAACTTAGTAGTGCACACAAGGTGTTCGATGAAATGCCTGTTTTCCATGCCATGTTGTGGCCACCGGTTGGGGCCCTTAATGATGTAGTTTGAGGGTGTATTTGCTATGGATGTGAACCTTGAGTTGCCTATTTTCTTGTGAATGTGCACCCCCACCCAGATTATGCTTGATTTATCGAGTTTTTGACCCCCGAACTATGGATGAAACCATGGTTAGGCTGTTTCCTGTTCTTAAGTGTGGGGGTGTGCTTGACCTTTTTTTTGGCTCTTTTGGTCCCACTTTGGGTTGTTCTTTTGCAGGGAAATGGCGCAACCTAATCTCCAGCACCCATTCATCCGGGATCTAAGGAGGGGCCCCACCGCAGCGCGCTTCAAGGAGGTCGTGGAAACCCCGTTTGGGTCACACCATTGCTGGTCCAAACGGGAGTTTCGGCGATTGCACTGCTACGAGCAGCTCTCCGCCGCGGTCGCCAACACCGCATGGCGCCGTCTGCTCCAGCTCTGCGAGAAGGTCTACTACGAGCCGGTGTGGGAGTTCTACACGACCTTCAAGCACAACTCCACGACCAATTGGCAGGACGGTACAGCCGTCCAATTCAGGATGGGCGGTGTCCCCCGGTCCTTGAGCTATCACGAGCTGGCCGAGGCTCTCGACCTCGACCTCGACGACCGTCAAGACTACATCACCGAGGTAAATGAGCCATCGGAGGTGGACTTCGGGAGGCTGTACACCAGCCTGGCTCGGCCAGGCCAGACGCGTCCCTTCCGGTCCGGAAGGACGAAAGCATCTACCCTGCAGATCGACAACCGACTTCTCCACCACCTGCTGACGAAGTCTTACACCCCTGCAGGAGAAAGCGCCGGCGCCATCACGAAGAGGACCCTGTACTTCCTCCATTCGATCCGCCAGCGCAACCATCCTCTCCACCTGGGTTCGGTGGTGGCCAAGACCTTCGAGAAGACGGCCACAGAGCTGAAGAGCCTCCACTGCGCCCCCCTCATCACCCGCCTGGCCACCTTCTTTGTCCTTTCACTGCAGGGGTGCACCGAGGAGGGGGACACCCTCATCTTTGGCAGCAAGACGATCGGGAAGATGCTGATGTTGCGGGAGAGGAACGGTGTTCAATGGGTCGATGGGTTTCCGGAACCTCCGAGCCCCGCGGAGCCCGTACCAGAGGCCCAGCCAGAGGGCCAGGAGGAGGAGGCTGCTGATGAGGTGGATCCCGAGGAGGTGGATGCTGCTGCTGCTGCTGATGATCCACCACAGACTGACTTCCATTACGGGGGTAGCAGCTCCGCGTTCCAGGGCCAGGATTACTTCGCCCAGCAGTTCGAGCAGCTGAGGATCGAGAACCAGCTGATCCTCGATCAGCAGATGCAGTTCCATCAGCAGTATGCGGCCGACCAGGCCGAGTACCGGAACAGGATGGATGCTTATAACGAGCGGCTGACCACGATCCAGACTCAGCAGGGCGTGACTCTCGCCCACATCGAGCGGGAGAAGCGCGTTCCCGGCGCATGCAGGAGGTTCAGCAGCACCTGCTCCAGCTGCTCCCGGGCGAGCCACCTGTTTGGAGGACTCCCTGGGATGACTCCCCTCCACATGACGGTGCTGCTGGCGCTGCTGATGATGACGCGTTCATGAACGACATCGACGATCTTGGCGACGAGTAGGCTGTACTCGTTGCCCGTCTCAGTGTGTTTTCTTTTTCATTTTAGACTTTTGTGTGTTTGCTCCATGTGTGCGGAGCTTGAACTTAGTGTCGTTTGTTTTTGTTTTTGGTTTTCCTTTGTGGTTTGATGTAGCCGTCTGGGCTAACACTTATCCCTAACGCACAGTGTGCTAGTGTGTTTCTGGTGTTCGATTTGTGCAGCATTGTCCACTCTCCCGTTTGTTTCTCGCTGACTGGTCCACTTCCAGTCCCCCAGCAGTGTTCTTACCCGGTAACATCGTTCCCCTTATCTTTCCCTCTACTCCATTGAGGGCAATGTCGTGCTTAAGTGTGGGGGGGTGCTTTGTATCGGTTGGAATATTTATGATGGTGCTTGGAGCCTAGTCCGCTGTCCGAATCTTACGATTTGAGGGCTCCAAGTACTGCTGTTTGATCATATTGGCACTGTGTTTTGATGGATGAATTGATTGGTTTTCGGATTAATGCATGATAACTTGTTTGCGACTAGGACAACCTATGATGAGGACTGAGATGTGCAGTAGAACGATGTAGGGGTTCAGTTTTTCAACTGTTTGCTTGCCAACTGTGACTTGATCTGACTTGATCTGATTACTTGTCCTTGACAGTCGTTTATGCATCTAGTTCAAGGTATCAGAATGTGAGATAGAGCATATAGGTAGCCATGTGAGATTTGAGCCTGCTCGTTTCTTTCTTGTGCGATAGATCCCTCTTCCATGATGTGTAGCATTCACGTTGTCACTAGCTAAGATGATGGGGGCATAGGATTAGCCCACGCCCAAAACTGACTGTCCTGATGTGTCATATCCCCTAGTCAGCCCCTTTGAGCCGTGTGTTATCCTTTCTTTTGGTCTATAATGAAAAAAAATCACCCTTGTTGCATCTTTTAGAAGGTTCCACAGAGTGGTTTTTACATATTCTCTGCTGTTTCTGCTAAAGACTATTTGAGTGTTGGAGGTAGTGCTTAAAAGTTGGGCAGGTGTTTGAAATTTATGCAGAAGTGGTGGCTCTCTTAAGAAATGAAAAGAAAAATGAAAGAAAAACAAAGAAAAAATTGAAAGCAAAAGAGAGCCACTACCAAAAATCTGAATAATGCCCATTAAGTAGTGTTTCTTAGCAGTCTGGCTTGGAAATGCTGATGTTTATGCCTCCTTCGCTCTTGTGCTCTTGAGATGTTGAGTAATGCAGAATAGCAGAAAGAAAATACCGGGTTGTTTGACTGTGATTGGGTGTTTGGAAAATGTGGAACCTTTTGCTATGAATACTTCCACCACCTAAAAGGCCGTTTCCCCATGTCCAAGACCCTAGCCAGTCATTTGAACCTGTGTCTAAGACCTCCTGATTAGTTAGTGGTGACACCCCATATGTGAACTCTAGCATTTAGAGGCTGCCATCATGGTGAAGAGATGATAGGGATTGAGAGAGATAGCATGCGCATCTTTCGCATCAAATTGTCCTGACCCCACTGGTCGAGAGTGAGTGATTCATTTTCATTTTCTATATGCTCTTGTACCCCGGTGAGGACCTAGATTGCTCGGTCTCTATTCTGATGTCTTGAGTTGGATGCATGAGTTGACTGTTTTGAGTAAGTGGTTGAATCAAGTCTAGGTTGGCCAGTGAACAGAAGGGAGACTCTTCCTTTACTCGATTTGCTGCACTCGAATGTCCTTTGTGGTGGTTGTCGAGGTTGTTATTGAGGTTGTGCATGTATTGATGTTTGAAAACCAGTGCGATTCACGTGTTCTGTGCCTTTATGACTTGTCCCCAATGTTGGTTGATTGAAATATGTAAGCTTACCTAGTGTCTGACTTGGTTTGCTTGGGGACAAGCAAACGGTTAAGTGTGGGGGAGTTTGATAGACCTTCATTTACACATGTTTTTACCCCCGTTCTTACACCGTTTGAGGTGTTGATTCTCGTGTTTTAGGCCGATTTCACGCTAGGTTGTGCTTGTTTGTGATATTTCAGGTCCTAGTACGTGAATGAAGGCTTAGGAGCGAGTCTGGGGTCGATTGGACGAAGATCGGACGAATGGCGAGGTTTTTGGGGAGCTGCACGGGCAGACCAGGGGATCTGCACGGCCGTGCATGTGAGCAAGATGGCCGTGCACTTTATGCCGAGGCCACGCACGGGCAACCCCTGAAGATCGCATGGCCGTGCACCCTGGCCGTGCGAGAAGCCTGAGGATCGAACTAATTGATACGCCGCGTTTTGGAGCCGCACGGCCAAGTGGGTGATCTGCACGGCCGTGCACCCTGGCCGTGCGAGTCGAGAAATCCTGGTTTTAGAGCCTATTCCGAGCCTAAAGTGGGAGAATCGTGTTTTGAGAGCAAAAAACAGAGCCCTAGAGAGAGAAAGTACGAAGAACACATCCTAGAAGCTGTCTTAGAGCTGGGTTTCATCGAATCGAGCTTGGAGATCGTCATAGGAGTGGAAATCATCGTCCCGGAGCAGATTATCCTCATCGTTATGAGTATGACTAATCCGATTCTTGTTTTCTCTTCTCTCTCTATGGAGTAGAACCCTTCTCTCACTTGGGTATGAAGAACCCTAGTTCCTTGTGTTAGGGATTTGATTGTAATGACTTGGGATGATATTACTGTTTGATTTTAATCGAATGATGCATGTTTATTGAATTGATTGGAGTCTGATCAGCTTTTCTCAATTTCTGCTGCAACCTGAGATAGATAGAATCTGATTAGGTTGTTAGAGCCTCTTCATTCGATAGTAGGAGATTGGCTATACGAGAGTTAGCCAGTTTACTGCTTTGTACTGGAATTCAATTCTAGTAGTGGAGTTCTGTGTTCATAGCCTTAGCTTTCTATCCTGGTGAAGACTAGTCGTCTGCCGGGTAGTTAGACTGAGAGGGCTTGGTCAGTTTAAGAGATTCCAAGCTACTGTCGGATCTTCCGCAGTCTAATCAACAGTAAATCAACCCAGGGAATTACAATTGAACCTAACTAAGGGGCTAGGGGGACTCAATCCCGAGTGACTCTTGCCTGCTTTAGAAAACCGAACAATTTACTGCTTTCTTGTTGCTTTTACTTTTCACAACAATCACTCGAACTAGTTTGCTAGATAATAGAGAATCACGGAGTAAGCAGTAGATCTAGACCCCGGGTTGATAATTGAACTTGCCTGTTACTGCATTCCCGGACTGCGATTACACTTGGTCGCAGTTTGGTGTTGTGTTTTGGCGTGTCAGCAGTGGAAATGAGATTGGGTTGTTGTTTAAACTCTTATTTTGTTAATAATTTACATGTTTTACAGGTTGATATATGGAATCAGGCAATGCATCAAGTCAGCCCTCAGTTACCAGTAGTGTTGTTGGTGCTACTGGATCTCGGACAAAAGAAGATCCTGCTTGGGGCTATGCTGAGGAAATTCGCACTGAAGATGGAAAGACGTGGATCAAGTGCAAATTGTATGGTCATTTGATAAAAGGAAGTGGAATTCATCGAGTGAAGAAGAATTTGGCTGGAGAAAGGGGTAATGTTGCAGCTTGCAAGGCCGTTACTCATGATGTTCGTGCGAGGTTCAAAGCTCTACTTGCATCTTCCGGTAAGCGAAAACCCGCTGAAAAAGATAATGATGTTGCTTCTGGGGAGCAAGATAGTACAAGTGTTGTGCGGCAAGTGACTAGTGCACCATCTCAGCCTAATTTCTTTGCACCAAGAACAACTCCAGGAGCCCAACCTGGCATTCGAAGTGCTTTAGCTGGAAGAGATGCAAAGAAGAATGCTGATCTCATAGTGGCTAAATGGTTTTACCATGCAAAACTCCCTTTCAATGCTGCACACTCTGAGTTTTATCAGATGTCATATGATGCAGTTGCTGCAATTGGACCTGGATATAAGGTACCTTCTTACCACCAATTGAGAGTGACTTTGCTGAGAGAAGTCAAACTAGAATGCACTTCGATTATACATGATTATCGTAGAACTTGGGAACTTACTGGATGCACTTTGATGGCTGATGGTTGGACTGATATGAGTCAAAGATCATTGATTAACTTTTTAGTCTATTGTCCAAAGGGTGTGTGTTTCATCAAATCGGTGGATGCATCAGACATGGTTAAAGATGCTAAGAATTTGGCTGAGTTGTTTGGTGGTGTGATTGATTTGATTGGGCCAAAGAATGTTGTGCATTTTGTCACTGATAATGCTGCTAACTATGTTGCTGCGGGAAGGCTTGTTCATGAGAAGTATAAGACATTATTTTGGTCTCCATGTATGGCGCATGTTCTCAATCTTCTATTGAAAGACATTTACAAGCTGAAACATGTTTCAAGTTTAGTCTCTCGAGCTCAGAAGATTAGTGTGTTTGTTTATAGTCATCTTCCTATCCTATCTTTTTTGAAGAAGTTGGAGGGTTGGAAACAGATTGTGCGTCCTGGAGCTACTCGATTTGCTACTAGTTTCATTTGCTTGAGAAGCATTTATGAGCATAGGTCATTGTTGGAACAGCTTGTTACAAGTAATTTCTTTGCATCTCACAAATTGGGGAAAAGTGCAGAAGGGAAGCATATCAAGTCTATTGTGTTGGATAACAACTTTTGGCAAGAGTGTTTGGTAATGGTCAAGTTGACAATACCAATTGTGAAATTGTTGAGGATTGTTGATTCTGATGAGCAGCCATCTTTGGGATATGTTCATGATGGAATGATTAGGATTAAGAAGACTATCAAGAATACTTTTTTGGGTAATGGAGCAGGGGCTGATGTGTATATGAGGTTGATTGATGCGAGGTGGGAGAAGCATCTTCAGCGTAACATTTATGGAGTTGCATATTTCTTGAATCCAGTTTTTCAGTATACCGAGGAAGGTCGAGCTGAGCGTGGAGTTCAAGGTTGTCTTATCGACTTCCTTGAAACTGATGGGTTATGTAGTGATGTTAATGAAGCTATTCAAGAGATTAGACTTTATAGAGATAGGTTGGGGAGTTTCGGGAAGAAATCAGCTATCGCTTGTGCTACCACTTTACCACCAGGTAATCAATTATAGTAATTTATTAGCTTGTATCTTGTATTTATGTTATGAAATTCTAATTGCTTGAAGATTGTTTTTATTGAATAGCTGAATGGTGGACGCTATATGGAGATGATGCTCCGAATTTGAGGCAGATTGCTATACGAGTTTTGTCTCAAACATCATCATCTTCTGGCTGTGAGCGAAATTGGAGCGTGTTTGATCAGATTCATAGTAAGCGGAGGAATCGATTGGAGCATCAAAGGTTGAATGATCTTGTTTATGTGACTTACAATCTGAGGTTGAAGAATAGGTAATGTTTAATTTGCATAATACATTGTAAACCTTTTTAATATTTCATATACTTAATTGCTTTTATTCTATTTTACTTGTAGGTGCTTAAAGAAAGAGTGGAAGAAAGATCCAATTGATTATGAGCAATTAGACAAGATTGAGTTTTGGATTGTGGAAGAAGATCCACCTGCAGATATAGACTATGAGGAGATTGAAAGAGCTCTTTATGAGGAGATGGAAGATGAATCATCCTCCTCCTCCTCCTCAAGAAAGCGATCTCGTGTTGAAGGTTGGCTTATAATATTATTGTTTATATTCAAATGCATTTGTTTAAATTCAAATGCATTCTTCATACAATAATGAAATTGTCATTGCTCATTACTAACTATTAAGAATGTTTGGTTTTATGGTTTTGGTGCAGAGGACTTTGATGATGATGTGACTGATGAAATTGATTTCGACATTTCTCAAATTGTTGAAGCAATGGACATGGAGATGGATGCTTTTATCTTTGAAGATATTTGATTGTCTCCTTTAATTTTTAGAGTATGAATTTCAAGTAAGAACAATTGAATGTTGTCATTTGTGGGATTCAAGTATGAATATTCTGATAAATGTTTGGATGTTATTCACTTATTCTAGATGTCAGTGTTTAAAACTTCAAATGTGAGGATTTGGTTTGTAATGATGTATGTTATTTATATATAAATCTAGGTGTATTGAGAATTTGAGATTGCCTTTGAGATGTCACATATATATGCATAATTTATTAGGTGTCAATGGCTCTCCAACATATCTTGTCAAAACCGGCTTAACCCGGTTGAACCCCGATCCGACCATTAAATCCCAAACCCCTTGTCAAACCGGCCGAATGACTTAACCCGGTTTGACAACCTTGTGCAAGAAGCAGCTACAAGGCCTAGACATATACATGTACATCTACTAGACTATGGATGTTTCTTTTTCCAAGTTGATGTTTTTTCTAAATAGTTGCATGTTTTGGGTTGATTAGTGAGAAGAGTGGTGACTGATGGTGTTCAATGTTGAACTTACAGAGGGGAGACGACATTTTGCAATAGTGAATGCAGATTGAGGCAAATAGTGATGGACGAATAAGAACAGAAGAAGTAGAAGCAAAATAACAAGTGCATGATGAGGGAAGCTGGGAGATCTATAGTGGATATGACGTCGATTTCAGGGAAGAACCGTAGTAGTCCGCCCATGTTTTCAACTGAGAATCTCGCTATCTGATAACGATTTGTTTCATAGTTTTTGAAGCGGCACACCACACAAAAGAAGAAACATGATTGATTAGTAGTCACATATATCTAATGAACATAGATGGTGTGACCAATGGATGATGATCATATATATGGTATCGGCTCTAAATAGGAAACCCACCCACAAATTTGGGGAAAATGAGAAGTAATGTAACATCTCAACCTTTTTCGGACAAAATATTGCCCTCTTTGGGTTTAGACTCTCACGGATTTGGTCTTGGGATGTATATAAATATGACTTACCATAAGGTCACTCATCCTTCCAGTGCTCCATAATGATTACGTTTAACTTCGAAATTCTCATAAAAACTCTTTAATTTCACCGCAAAATGTGTCTTGTCTGTTAAATTCAGTTTCTTACTCAAGAACCATGGATATCTTTCGCACTTGGTCCACGTGGGTTTTGTCTAAAGTGTTTTACATACGCCCCACCCTTTGGGACTCAATGTTATAGTTGACGTTTGTTCCACCATCGTTCAAGAGGGACGCGAAGAGGCTATGATACCACTTGTGACATCTCAAACCTTTTTTCCTACAAGATATTGTTCGCTTTGGGTCTAGGCCGTCACGGGTTTTCCATTGGGGTGCATATCAAGGTGAATTCCCATAAGGTCATCCATCCTGGTAGTGTTCCACAATGAGCATGGTTAGCTTTGGAAATCTCACAAGAACTCATTCATTTCACGCCAAAACCTGTCTCGTCGGTTAATGTTGGGTTTTTTACTTATGAACTATGGATCTCTCTCGTGTTTTATCAATGTGGGATTTGCCTAAAATGTTACAAGTAAAATGTGACAAAAAAGAACATCAATTATTTTTGTTCGGATGGTTGGAACCAGCAGAGCAAGAGAAGTGAACTGTGAAGTAGGCAAAGATTTTTTTTTTCTTTTGTTGCTTTGATAGAACCCTCGTGATCTAAAGCGTCTAGGGTAAAGTTACAAAATTGGGGATAGATCGAGGATTAGGGATTTGATAGAGGATTGGTAAGATTTTGGGATTTTGGGATAAGATGAACAGAATTGAGGATTAGAAATTTGGAAGAGTAAATTGGGCAGAATAAGGAGAGAAGGACTTGCAGCCTTGATAGGGAGAAGAGACGAGATTAATAGAAATAGAGAATAATACATGAGATGGATAACTAAAAATACTTTGCCTATTGATTTATGATTATTCTAATGAAAGACCCGAAATACATATATAGAAAAACACTAGAATAAACATGATAAATACCTAATACTAACCGGATACTACTAACTCTAATAATTATCCTACTATAATTAATAATAGAAACCCACAAGGATCAGATTCTATCATACCCTCCCCCTTGAGACCAACCTTACCCTCATGTGAAGTTGTCTCAATATGTTGGTCCTCAAGTCCTAGTCATTACAACAAAACTCCATACATAAGAGACCTAATCAGACATTCCATTTTCGACCTATGTCCCACTTGAATAAGCTCGATTTATTGGCACGTCTTCAACTTGCTCTGCTAGTCTGGTAGACCAAGGCCAACGAAGCTTTCCTCGCGACCAGGCTTGCTCTCCTCCTGCCCAGACTTCCCTATCTGATTCGACATGCCCATTTCCAACTTCTCTGGAAATAATGAATGCATACTTAGAACCGAATATGGCATGTGCTTTTTTCCTCCGGAGGTGGTTCAGTTGGACACTATGGACGCGAACAAGACGTAGCGGGTTGCACAAAAGTAGGGTAGTGCCGCCGCCTTCCTTCTTCTCTCATCCTCCGGAAAATCCTTCTAAGTCACATCATCTGGCGACAAGCAATCCACCAGGTGGGCGAAAAGAGATCTTGAAGTCGTGACGCTCGTCGTAATCTCCAGCGTCTTGACCGTCGTTGCTGTGAATGGAGTTGTCGTAGATTGCGATAGGCTATTCGCGTCGTCGCCAAGGAAACTCGATGAACTTGTCCCACCTCTACTTAGCGCCAACTATCAACATTTGCGCGGATCTCCACCTTTTTATTGGACGCCTACAAAACTGGATGTTGCTTCCATTCCTGAACCATTTTCTCATAATGTGGATGTTGCCTCCAATAGCTAAAGTACTTAAAAGAACGAGCTAATATTTTAAGTTTGGAATTGGTATGGATCAAGATGCCATAATGAATTGACAAACCTAGAGGGAGAATCTTCATTGCCCCAAGTAAGCCAAGCTCCATCAACCCTATTATCTAACAAATATATGTCCTCAATCCAGTGCCAAAAATTAGCAGTACTTTCACCCAACTTCGCTACATTAGAAGTTTGTTTATAGTCATAGGCATAATACTATTATGAAGTGCTTATGTCTATATACATTATTTTCTAAACGAACACAAAATATGTTGAGCTATTCTCTAATTTCCCTTGTTTTCTTTTTACTCCTTCTATTCCTAAAGGAATAAAAGAATGTCGGGGGTAAATTTGTTGAGCCATGTATCAACTAGATTAATCCAACACTGAAAACACCCATAACTCACCCACCAGGGCACCACCCCTTTGTTTTCAACACTTTTGGCCAATCAATGCCCATCAAAACTCTAGAAACGCTCTCTTCCTCCTAATCGTAGAAGGCAAGTCAAGCTCTCCCAAGAGAAGTCACTTTCTCCATACTAGGAAATTTAAACATAAGTAAGGATTTTTACTATGCATTTTCTCCCTTCTTCTCTTCCTTTCTCTAGATTTCCCTTGGTTGACTTAATTTTTTGGAAAAACATTCATGCCCCTGAGCCTTTGAATTCTTTGTAGATTTTGCTCCATCCAATAGTGAATTAAGTTATGTGGTAATATCAAGATAAAAACTCACAAGTTTAATGCTTTGTCTCAAGTTGAATCTTGGCAGAGCATATAACTGAGTATCGAAAGAAAAACATCACATTTCTTTAGACATGTTTTTAAAAGAAGACGGAAATTTAAGGACTTGGGCATATTCACTTCTAACAAACAAAAAAAAATAAACTGCATATTGAGAACCATTCACAATTTTTGGCCTACACAAATGTAATAATTTACACAAAAGTTTGAAAACAATAAACATACACGGGCCTAGGGTTGTAATTTCATTCCATTCAAGATCATGAAGAAGAAGACAAAAGCGGGCCCTTCCTTTTTTTCATCTCCTTTGCTCTTTCTTCTTTTAAAATAATTTTAAGAAAAAATTAAACTTGAATTTCCTCTATTCGTCTAATAGCTTCACTCATGTCTAACCGTTGGGTAGGGTCAGTTTCGATGCAAGCCAAACCAACCTGCAACAGTTGTACCATTCGCTCCGCCGATTTGGTACCGTTCATCATTTCTGGATCTATGACTTCTCTTTCTCTCCCTTCTCTGCTTGCCTGAACAACCCACTGCACCACATCTGTCCCGCCTTTCCCGTTGGTTAGGTACTGTGAAGGGAATTTTCCCGTCACCACTTCAAGTATTATGATCCCTAAGCAATAGACATCAGACTTATGGGAGACTTGGCTATACTGGATATATTCAGGGGACTTGTAGGCGAACATAGCTTGGGAGGAATGCTTTGGGTTTATGAGTGGGTCGAGTGCATAGTCGCTCAACAGAGGCTCATAGCTATTGTCTAGGACGACATTGCTGGATTTGAGGTTGCCGTGTGGAAGATTGTAAGATGCATACTCTGTGTGTAGGAAGCGTAAACCATTTGCTATCCCCTTTATTATCTTCAATCGGGTTGGCCAATTTAGATCTGAGTGGCAGATTCCTCGATCACCTGGAATAGTATAAAGTAAAGATATAACATGATAATTTGTATTAGTTCTAGCTACAAAAAATTTCACAGAAAGATCCTAAAAACTACATGTCATAATTCAACCTCAATAAACCTTTACATTATTAGACTTTTTGTATTAAGTTTCATCAGCCTTCGCACCTTTAGCTGAACAAATTATGTAACAAAAAGCTCTTTGAGACCCAACTTGAATAAGCTACACTTACAAATTACATATTAGCTAATCAGTCCCAAATTTTCACATTCAATTATCACATTATATATTAGCCAATTAGTCCAAGCTTTCATGCATTTCTCAATCATTATTTTTTTATGATGAAAATTCTTGTATGAAACTAAGTGAATGCAAAGAATCATCATAATCATGAGCTTCACCATGTAGAAAAATATCAGAGACAACTCTTTGAACAAATAAAAAAATTTCACTAGTCTATTATACAAAGCAAATTATTGTTAAGAATAATACACAATAAACAAAATAGTATACTGAGCATATACAA